ATTCCTTTCTCATGCATAAACCGCAATGCCTTAGCAATCTGTAAAAGACTTGCATCAGAGTGGCACATAATCAAACAGAATATCGATGTGTGAAAATTAAGACAGGCTTTCGCATAAACTTTCAAGTTGTTTTCTGAATTCAGAAGAATCAAAAGAAGGTAAATAGGTGGATGCCATTAAATGGAAAATAAAGGACCATTATCGGAATCTGGTTGACACAGAGTACCTATAGGTTACAGCCAACCAGATAACAGCCCTTTCAATGGTTATTAACTGGAAAATAATAAAAAAAAGGAAGCCTGGAAGTGACATCAACTGTCATTGGAATAACTTAAGATATCTGTGAAAGATAACAGTCTAGAATCTCTACAGAGTGGTCCGTCTTGACAATCCAAATAAATCACGCACCTACTCAGGAGAAGACTCTATTAGATTATGTTAAGATAAAAACAGAATATATTCAATGAAAGACAAACAAATTAAATCTGATTTTACTTAAATGTACATGCAGTGGATACAGTAAAAAAAGCAACTCCAGATGAAAATGGTTAACACGCAGGAGAAGACTCTTTTAGATTATATAAAATAAATCAGAGCATATTTAACAAAAATGAACAGATTGAATTTGATTTTAAGTAGTTAAATTTACATATAATGGACACATTAAAAGGGAACTTTACAAGAAAAAGATTAAAACAGTCATTTGTCATGAAAAACTTGAATCTTCCACAGGACTCACAATTAATATTATATAATCTTTCTAATACGCTGCAAGTTATAATGGAAACTCTTCCACAAATGCATTTATTTTAGCCTTTTACGCAACCATGCAAGTGAAATATAGAACGTTCTTAATCTATTCCAACTCTACAATAACACTAACCTGATGCACAACTACCAGCACTTCTCCCTCGGTGAAAATTTGAGTAGATTTATTGGCCAAGCTATGATCACAGAGCTCTAGCTGAATGTAAAGTTGCTCATTCTCGAACCATGAAGAGTAGTAAGTAACGATGTTTTCATGAGACCCTATTGGAACAAAAGAATAAAAACACTTAAGCAAGAGTGCCCTGTGTATCCAAAGTGTGAAGCGGAGAAAAGAAAAGAATATACCAACCTAGTGCCGCCAAAGCTTGAACTTCCATAAAAGCTTTCCTCCTGCAAAGTGCAAATCACTATATATAGCACGTCGATACCAAAAGAATAAACAATATAGCCCAAATAAGAAAAAAGAAACTACCTGTCAGTGTCCTGATGCAACTGCCTCGTTGTATGTTTAACAGCATACAAGCAACCATCAATTCTTTTCAAAACTTTAAAGACTCGACTAAAATTGCCAACACCAATTTGCTGGAGGAATTTTAATGATAAAAAAAAAAAATTTATTAGTCTGATTGGTTACAAAGAAATCCACAAATTCTCGGGATAGCAATGAACTACCTCAATTTCATGAAAATCTGTGTGATAGCGTGAAAGACCTTCTCCACCCATAATTGCAGAGAAGAAACCTACATTGCATGGGTTTTTAATATGAAGAATATTTCTGAAAGAATTATTGGAAATGTAACAAGATTCCTAAAGTATCAAGATCATCAACTTTTGCTGGAAAAATCACGAGTCTACCTGAACATTTTGACCTTTGATTTCCAAAAGGGTCTACATCCATTTCTGAACCATCCTTTAGATAGGGGTTCTTGATGCAAGGAGGGGGCATAACCCGACAGCGTAATGCGACTGCAGACTGTGAAACATAATTTTGACTCCTCTTTTTTTTGTTCTCTGCTACTTTTTCTACCTTAACTTCAGCTGTATCAATAGAATCTTCTTCTAGTTCCATTATTTGTTGATGGCAAGACAAGATGGGACTTAGAGGCTTTATTGAAATACCATCTGAGAATATTGTGACAGTACATAGCCAACAGCGAGCAATTAATTTAAAACAGCATTTTAAAAAATCTAATTACAGAGAGAATGACTACATGAAATGTCGATCTCTATGAGTACTAACAGATACACAGAGTTCAACTGATGTAATCTCTATTTCTGCAAAATAAACTGCACATTAAAAAAAAAAAAAAAGAAAAAACTAACAAGCAGACCAAAGTGACTATAATTTGCATTGCAGTTGCAGTTCATATGCTGCAAGTCATTTACAATAAAAGAGTTTACAAACAATTTGCCCACTTAAGTTACGAGTAATTTTCCAACATAATGTCTAAGCAACAGTCAGTAAACCACATTTACAAGTTATAACCAACAGAATAAACCTTAGGAGATGTCATCTCGAAGCTAAATAAATCCAGAAAGCATCAAATCCCCTTCTTCAGACCATGGTGTATCACTTCTGGTCTAATAAGACAAGGATAATCTAATAAGACCAATCCTAATTCTGAGTTGCAGAATTATAGTTAAAAATCACTGACTGAGATTAAGAACCTCTAGGGTATGCTATGTACCTTTAACGAATTCGAAAGCTTCTGTTCCTGAAGCTTTGACTCATATATATTCCTACTAATTTCTCTTCTAGTCAAGCTTTGTAATTACTATTTTTAAATTAAAATTAATTTATCTTCTAGTCCTTCTATTACATCAGTTTGATAATCCTCCCTGATTCTTCACATTTAACCATTGCAGTAAAAGAGAGCATCTCACCGTGCTACTGTACAATTTGAAACAACAATAACCCATGCTTAAACTGAACAACTTGAAAATATACATTTAGGTACTGCTGCTGAGATGCTTTCACCTTCCCATCTCATTTTAAACTCTGACTCAGGCAATCACTGTTAACACAATTTTCCCCACCTAATTCATTTCTAAATCAGAAAAGTCTTAACATTTTCAAATGACATAAAGTCCATATCCATACGTGGGAGTTGTTGCATTAACTTAAGATTCCGTCACATGTAATCAAGAAACAGAAGGCAATATAAGACTGAAATTCACTAAGACCTCTAAAACTCTGACGAGAGTCTATCACTGTCAAGACAGTTTGTGACACATAATTCGTCCAAAGCTTAAGACTCTTAACATTCGCAAATGGTAAATAACAACTACTCACAACGACCATATCTATGTTTTCTCTTTGTGCATGTTATGAAAAACTGCAACTCTCTCCTTGGCTGAAGACAGAGTAGGAAATCTAGAAATGATGAGATTGAGTGATTCATATCATATGCAATCAAAAAGAAAACAGAAGACTCAATATAAGAACTCCAACTCATTTTGATCTTACCTTGTGGACATCTCTTGCCTTTCAAAGTATTTAGTTTCTCTGGTGATTTAGGACAAGGGATATTTTCCTACAGAAAGAACACATACCAATCATAATTTAAAAAACTTCATGCAACTAAGCCACGAAAAGACAGCTCTATGCCTTTCTCAATTTCACCTTGTTGCAATCGAGGACATTCTGCAAATTTTGATTATCCGGGGTGATATAATCAGGAGTGCTGCACACAGAAGTTTGAAGGTTAAAAAGACATAAAACGGATCATCTACGAAACAGAAAGTTCTTTTCAGACTTGAGTAGAAATTGTATCGTTCACTTTACTGATAACTGGCATTAAGCTCTTACAGCAGCGATCCTCACCATCGAATCCATAAATTACCAGTTTAACATTTGGTCAATCTCCAATAAATTCAAACACCAACTCACAAAGTAAACCACATTTCACAAAATTTAGAAAACAGCCAAATCAAAAGCTGAACGAAGAACAACTCGCGCATACATAAAATGAACTATATTAGGCATAGTGGAAGGAGATTCACCAGAAGAAGTCTTGACTGAGAATGAAATCTTTCTCATCACCATCGGCATCAGCATCAAAGTCGAGAGCCGTCGCGAAGGGCTGCGGGGGCGGGTCCGAGGAGCCCGACTCCAGAAGGTTCTGCAAGAAAGGATGGGGGAGAGAAGCTGACGAGGAGCCATTAGCAGAGACTTGCCCTAGCTGGACCTGCAAATGCATCCCTAATGTCCCTTTCATTTTGCTCTTCGCCCCCTTCCTATAGCTTTTCTTTAGGGCTTTCCTCTTCATCAATGAAATCCTTCTTCTCCAATCTCTCTCTGTCTTTCTCTGTCCACTGTGTTTATTTTTTTGATATATAAAAATTTCCGATTTTTATAGTGGAGAAAATAAAATAAACTTTCGAAATTGGCGCGGGTTCCCGGGCAAGGATCAGATGGAAAAGGGAGTACGGTGTACCTTCTTTTTCTGATCCCGATCCTAACCGTAAGTTTGGATGACCGGAGAATTCAGTGGCAATCAGACGATGGTTGGTCTGGTTCAGCCCACGTCGAAAGCCTCCGTTGCGTACTCTGTAAGCTCTCAAATAAATAAATAAATAAAATTAAGGATGAAAATTAAAAATAAATAAATAAATAAAAGGTCCAAATAGTAAATTAAATTCTCAGAAATGGGTATAAGGGTAAATTCAAATCATACTCCAATTCAGGGAAAAGAAAATGATAATCCAAGCAAGAACAGCAGCACGGCTCTGCAAAATTTTAAATTGGAAAAGACGCGTCGGATTGGAGTCTTCATTACACTGAAAGAAGAAAATGTGGCGGCAAAATAAATTCCCGGTAAAAGAAATGCAACTTTTTCTTAGATACGTATATTTTTATTTAAACTATTTGCTCTCAATCCTAATTTTTTTTTGTTTTCCTCCTGGATTCTGTAATTTTTAGGAAAATCCAGACTCTGATCAAAGCATATCAGGTAAATTTTTGTTGCTTTATAAATGATTCTTTATCTATTATCTATTATCTATTTGATTTTGGGGGTTCAGTTAATTATCGTAATATGTCAGAGGAGGAACTGGAAGACTTTGATAACGGCGAATTGGGAGGACATTGTGTTTCGCTAGGAGGGAATACTGAGAAAGAGGTTGGTGCTCAGTTGCTAATTTAATCTGTGTAATTAGTGGGAAGAAAGTCTTGTAATCTTTATCGATGTAGGTTTGGTTTCTATGTCTAGACTGGTTTGTTCAATTTTTACATTATTGTTCTTTCTATTATTCTAAGTAATTGAATCGGCTGTTCAAGTAATTGGAACTCGTATAATCCTTATATAATCTTATACAGTTTATTTATCAATCATGTTTTTGTAAAACTGGTAGGAACGTTTACCAAATTCCATCACGGTTGGGAGATGCTTAGAGGTATATATCCAGTTAATCTCTCCTCCTCTCTCTTTCTTTGTTTCTGCTATTAGTTATTCTGCAAGTTTTTTTATTTTATGTATATGATATAAATTTTGTATTAAATTATCATGCGCCGGCATGTAGACTGTGTTTTTTGTGTGAATGGGATGTGAGGTTCGGGTTCAGTCAGTCATCAGAAGGGCCTTTATTTGTATGGGTATTGTTTTTATACACAGGTACCAATGAGCTACATTGTGGAAGAGAAGTTGGCTATTTATCGGAGGAGGCATGTGTATTCAATTTAGAGTTATAATTCCCCTTAACTAGTTCTTGCTTTGTTTCATTACTTTTCTGGAATTTGTTAATGAAAATATGTAGTGTGATTGCTGCAATCAGAGGCTAGCAGGTTCGTCCCTTGAAGATGAGATTGAAGTGCCTGACTCCCCAGATGAGGATGACATCACCCGCTCTGCGAGACAGGTGATATCACCAACATGCGTCTCTGATGAGGAACCAGTCTCTGGTAACAAGGTAAGTACAATACGGCAATGCTTAGGTCAATGGTTTATAATTTATTCTAAAGATGGTAATAGTGTTCTTCAAAATGTTCACAAGCCGTTCGCAAAACAAACAGGCACAGCATGATGCAGTATACAAGACAACTGGTGTACCTAAAGAATCCGATACGCTAATCGATTTGAATGGCAATGCTTTGCATTCATCTCATTCTTGTTACCTCAAAACTACCAAATTATCTAAAGGTACTATATCTTCTTTTTATTGTTGCTTGATGTGTATGTGCCTCATTTCAATACTTTGCCTATTAGCCTCCGGTTCTTGCCTGTGGAATTACTTTATTTTTTGGTGGACATGAAGTTAGTAAATCTTTATCATGAAGATTGCATTCCTTGTTAATGCATGTGAAAGAGGCAAGTTCATTCTGCAAAACTGATCCAAATTAGAGCATGTTCAGAAATATTAGGGGAAAGAAAGTGAAGTGAAAAAGGAAAAAGCTGAAGAAAAGCAAACAGGATTATGTAGTCAGTTTGTCCTAGTAGTTTGTGGATAGGCACCAGTGTACAATAGGACCCTATGTGGACCAGGCGCTGCACAATGCCAATAGAATCATCTGTGAGCTCTCATAATGTCGCAATTTTGATATGGATAGACATCCTGTAATAGAAAAGAAACGTGTGTAATATAGATATTTAGCATCTGAACTCAGGAAGCTTGTATAAATCTCTTATCAGACTGACATCAGTGAGGTAGGTTAGTTTCTAACTATCTTTCTTGGACCAAAATGATGCATCTTTTTAGGGCTTTGAAAAGGAAAAAGTTATGTTCTTACATGAGGATACCTATTTTCATGAGCTGCAGTGGTCAAGGGCAGAGCAACCAGAAAATTCTCATTCCATTTTCAGTCATGTAAAGAAATGCCATCCAAGGCTTGTGAAATACCTAAGACTTCGGAGTTAATTGATAATGGAAGAGTTGGCCATTCCATTCCTAAGCTCTTGGAAGACTCTCATGCCAAAATAAGGAACGAGTCAAAGGTGGCTCCTGTTGAAGTGGAAGGTTCAGTGCATAGCCACATTGAGCATTTAATGACTGATGTTTTAGATGGCCTTCAGGATAACATTAATGTGCTTAAAGGAAACTCTAAAATGGTAGCTTACTTCTCTGACTTACTATTCTTTCTCATGCTGCTGTTAGATTCTAGTTTGCTTCAGAACCTGTTACAGAGTTGCAGAAGAACTGATTACAGGTTGCTGTTAAAAGACATGCATCTCAATTGGAACTCAGAGCTGAAGAAAGTGAAGAACTCCCCGAATCAATGGATCGCAGATCATCAACTGATGATGAGGTTTGCTATTACCTGGATGTGCTAGCATTCTAGTAGCTTCTTCTCCTACCTTTTTTTCCCTGCGGAACTGATAGCTTCTTCTTGTCAAAAGTATCAACTTGTTTATAATTATAGTGATTATAATGCAGGCCAATTACCAAAATGTTGTATTTTCTATCCCAGAGATGAAGAGGCAGAGTATTGCAGATCGATTTCAGGAAGCTTTAGATGCTAGATCTTTAGTTGATGAAGGGGCTGTTGCCACTGAAGTTAAACCATCTGGGTAAACAATAGAACGAATTTTCATTATGAGATACCATAGAGTTTTGTGAAAAATTCTGGATTAGTAATTCTATCCCAATTTCATACTTCATACTGCAGCTCTGGACTATTTGCAAAGCTGCAAGATGTCATGCAGAGGGAAAAAGAAAGAGACAAACATTTTCTGAACAAATTGAAGAATGGAGTTAAACCAGATAGTAAGTGACTGATATGCTGTACTTTTGGCTTCTACCTGCTACTTATACGAGAAAACAAGGAAATAAGTTTGGGTAGATCACTTATCCTGGGTTCTTGTTTTGTTTTTTCTCAGATGAACCACCCTACATTGATGTGAAAATTGTGTCAAAATACTTTGATGCGAAGCTGATTGTTTGTCAGTGTTTTGTTGATAAGTTTTGGCCTGACAATCACCAAAAAGTCATAGATAAAGAACAGAAGAGGACAGTTATCTTTAAGCCAAAAGTTTGCGGCGATGTTGACCTCGAAGTTGGGAGCTTGATTCGTATTCATGCACCATGGTACAGATTCTCAATTAAATGATCTTTCAAGAAATGACCATGTCTTCTGTAGTCCCCTAGATTGACCTCTTGAACAAGCCAAAATGTGCTTGTTAACTTGCTTGAGATGCAGATGCATAGAACGAATTTAATTTTCTTCTTAGATGAAAGCCGGCATTGGAATATACTGTACGACTAGAGAAGAATCAGAAATTACCATCAAGTGGAGATTTCCATGATTCTTAATTCATAGCTGTGTTTTTTCTTGTACTAGTTGACGTGATTTGTGGGGTTTTTATTACAAAAGCTCCATTTTAACCTCTCTTTTTTTTTTTTCACTTTTTCAGGAAAGAGGTTGAAGCCATAGGCAATGATGAGAACATTATTCTATGTACCTTTTTCTCTCAAGTTTTTGCTTGAGCAGCTCCCTTCAATTTTGAAGAAGAATATTCTGGTCGGTACATGCACAGGATGGTGTCACGGCCTGGAACTTGTCCACTAGAGATAAATGGATTAACGAGCTAAGTATACCTTATCCTATTAGTAAGTGCTGGAGGGTAGTGTTTTCATCTCATGATGTTTTTCTTCATGTTTCCTGTTTCATGTGGCTTCCTCAATTGGGATTGGGTCACGGAGTTGAAATTCCTCCGCTAGAATAAATGGGTTCGCGAGTTAAAGCATACCTTTTATCCTATTAGTAAGCGCCAGAGTGTAGCGTTTTCGAATGCGGCCATCCGAACGATATTTAGCCACAACATAAAAGTAGTTCCCTGGCTTCCTCAATTTGCAGTCAAGAAACATAATAAAACATCCGAAAGCTCAAAAAGGAAGCTATATGGTTAGGTACAGGATTCATTTTGCTTGACCTTTTGTATTTGTTCTTGAGGTTCTGCCTACATATCAATAGTTCATTGCAAATGTAAAATTTTTGTTTTTGAAGTATTTTTTTGATTCTATTAAGATCTTAATAATTAGATTACCCTGTTGTGTTGATGATATTTTGAAGTTTAAGTTTGTATGTATGTGAGTAAGCATTCGAATGTATTCACCCAAGTACAGACATATATATATATATATATATAAGCTGCCCTGTGAATTTAGCAGAGAATGCCTACCTTAGTAATTGTAGATGTATTAAAAACTTTCAGAAATTCTCTGTCTATATTTAACTGATTTAGTAGTTAATTATTTTGATTGTGTGTTTGCGAAGGGAAAGGCATGGAGTTAATTATTTTGTTTGGGAAGTGAATTTAATTAATATAATAATAAATTAAGTGCTTATAAACAAATATAATTATAATTATAATATCAAAATATTTACCGAAAGAGCTGAATTCTTAAGAAATGGGAACTAGTGACCTGCTTAACGAAATCGGCGCGTGGAGTCGACGCGTAAGTTATCGGCTTTTGTCGGTTCCCGCGAAACGTGGCAGGGTAGCTCCACGATACGTGTTCTGCAATTAACGGATAATCTATTTTTTAAAATTTTATTTTTTCATTAGCTGATGGTTTATGAAGACTATGTTTTTAACTGTAATTACAGATTTATCCAACTGTCTCCTCTCCTTAAATCTTTCGGGCTGAGGATAGAATTGTAATTTGATGTCCATGGATGCATTTCGCTGCTTTCGTTTCCCTTCTTCAATAAGGAGAATACTCTCTACTGTATCGAAATTCAGAATTCTCCAGAATTCCTTCTTGATCTTCCTTCAATGGCCACTCTCTCCGCGTTTTCTTCTCCTTCCTGGCCCAACCCTAACTCTAATTCCAACTCTAGTTCTAATTCTGGTCCGGCTTTCATTTCCCCCGAGGACCCTGCCGGCCATACGAAAGCCCTTGACTCTCTCTCCGCCATGACTCTGCAGAATCAGGAACAACCTGATCAGCATCCGACCGCAAACCCCACTACTCCTGATACGAACTTCAATTCCCCCATGTCTAGCCCGCTGGAATCCGCCTCATTGTCGACGCCTACTTCTCTGCTGCACCTCTGCTTCAACCAGGACCATGGCTGCTTCGCCGCGGGAACGGACCATGGGTTCCGGATCTACAACTGCGATCCATTTCGTGAGATTTTCAGGCGAGACTTTGACCGAGGTGGCGGCGTCGGGGTGGTGGAGATGCTCTTCCGGTGCAACATCCTGGCACTGGTTGGTGGCGGACCCGACCCGCAGTACCCGCCCAATAAGGTGATGATCTGGGACGACCACCAGAGCCGCTGCATCGGTGAGCTTTCCTTCAGGTCCGAAGTAAGGGCGGTCCGGCTCAGGAGGGACCGGATCATCGTCGTTTTGGAGCAGAAGATATTTGTGTACAACTTTGCTGACCTGAAGCTGCTGCACCAGATCGAGACAATCGCGAACCCTAAGGGCCTATGCGCTGTGTCGCAAGGTGCCGGGTCGCTGGTTCTTGTATGCCCGGGCCTTCAGAAGGGACAGGTCAGAGTCGAGCATTACGCGTCCAAGCGGACCAAGTTCATCATGGCCCATGACTCGAGGATCGCCTGCTTCGCGCTCTCACAGGACGGCCACCTGCTTGCTACGGCCAGCACCAAGGGGACTCTCGTTCGGATTTTTAATACCATCGACGGCACCCTTCTACAAGAGGTATTTCATAATCTTTTATTCGCACTGAGAAGGTTTTTTTTTTTCTCTGTTTAGAAATGACTTATTATGTACATAGAAGGATGTTCGCAAGCTTCGTCTGAGTGATTTGGCTTAAATGACTGAAATATTGGTTTTCGAATGCCATTTTCAGCTTGTTTTAGCTATAAAAAAAAATAGGGTTTGGGTACTTCGAAGTCAGCAATTGAAATAACTCGGAAGTTTTCAAGGGAATTTATATCCAGTATGCAAAGATGGTAAACCACATGCTGACCTTGTTTGCATGCTAACATTTGTAGGTTGAAGAAGATTTAGATCAGTACAGTGTAGTTTAGGTGTATGACTAGAGGTAAGTGTAGGATATGGAGGATAATTTTTATGCACTAAACAGTAGTGGCTAGCAATATTGAGGAGTGATCCAAAGTCTTGTACTGGAATTGCGATAGTGGAGGTCAAATATTCTGCTGATAACCTGTGCTCCCTTCTTTTTTCTGTATTTTTTTCCTTTGGGTTCCGTTTCATATTTTTCTTCTCAAGCTTGTGTGAGAGAACTGCATGCTTAAACTGAATTAGAATGGCTATACTTAATGCACTTTCATTAACTGTCTAGTATAATTGGTGGCCCCAAGGCATTGTTTCATAAATGAAATTGCAACTATGCATTCCCATTTTTTGGGATACAGTGCATGATTTAGACAGAGGATAGCCTAAAACCAGGACAGCGTTGAAGTTATTATCCTGTGGGAATTTTAGAGCAATTCGTGTCTGTTTTTGGTTGAACTTAGTTCCTACATGGAGATGGAATGTAGGTTGTTAAAGAGGAAAATGTGCATAGAAATTTGTTTGCAAGTACAATAGCAACGCAGCAGTTAAGAATTAATGTCTCAAATTGAAAATCAGTTGTAAGCTTAGATTCAGTGTTTTCTGAATGATATTATCTAGTATTGGTATGGGGCTTGTGTGGAAAATTTTTTAATTATTTAACTGAAAAAATTGGAAAAAAATTTTAGTTGATGAGTAGAGAAGCTCTTAAATAATGGACTTAAATGTACCAGTGCTAGTCATGTAAGAGATCATAAGAGATGTAAGATTAATATGATTGCTTCTTTGGCTATATTATTTTTGGTTTCATCTACTGAGGTTTATTTGTTTATTTCGGTTTCGACAACGTTGCTTCAACTGAAAACAATTTTATTGTTACTCAGGTGAAGTTAAAATTATTTTTGTTGAACTTTTAATCAGATTCATATGTGGATTTGGTACCTATATCATAACATTTTCATTTCTTTTTCTCCTTTAGTTGTTAAATTACTGTCTGGTATTGTCTTGGTGGAGTAATTTTCCTGTCATGTTTTATTATGGGACAAACATGTTTTATTATGGGATAATTCAATTTGACCAGATATGAATTACAACTGTATCATGTTTCAGCCATGCTGATATGTTTTCTAGCATGGGCTGTGCCAGTGTATATATGTATATATATATATATTGGAATAAAAAGCCTGGTATCATTCATTCACAAGCAGCAAGGGGGTGTCAACCCATGTACTGTACCAGTATATTTATACTTTCTGGCATGGGCTTCTGCCTTCCATATTTATTTCCCAACATGTCATACTTTCCATTTTTCTTTTGCTTGCTTTTGATGAAGTGATTAGCATTTATGACTTTATTTCTGCTCCAATTTCGCTCCTACCTTTCAAATAAGACTTTGACTCACCGGACAGTAAATTTGTGTGTGTGTATATCTGTCTTCCTGTGTGGTCACATGATTTCTGATATACTGGAATCAATTTGATGTATTTTTAGGTGAGGAGGGGTGCTGACAGAGCAGAGATTTATAGTTTGGCATTCTCTTCAAATGCTCAATGGCTAGCAGTTTCAAGTGATAAAGGCACTGTCCATGTTTTTAGTCTTAAAGTGAATTCTGGATCACCAGTGAATGATAACCAGCGAACTGCATCCGATGCTAATCTTTCTGTTTCATCACCCACTTCATCTCTTTCGTTCATCAAAGGTAACTGAGTGCTAGAGATTTATATAATTGCTTTTCCAGGTACTTCAACAGACTTTTTATCACCTATAGCTCATGTCTGGTCTGGTTATTTCCTTTGTGATTTAAGAATGACTTCTGTGAGGCGTGTGACTCAGAAATATCCTCATACTGGAGTCAGTTTATACATTTGAACCCATCAAAAAGTTGCTGATAAGAATAATGGATCCTATGTGATAGAATAGAATCTGTCGCCTGCTGCAAAAATGATACAGATAATTTTTCAATTTCTTTTAGAGCATAAAGAAATTGTTTATTCTTTGCAGCCTTTAGAATTAGACATGTTAAAATTGTGGAAATGAAAATTTATTGTTTCAACTAGATAGTAGTTATGATTGTATTCTAATGAGGATATTAATGAATTTTTGGCAAGTCATTTTGACTTGATTTTATTGTTAAGTTTGGCTCATTTTTCTTCCTTGCAGTGTTTTCTGTCTGTTAGCATTTCCTTTTGGTCTTTTTGATCTAAATTAGCTTTCCACATGCAGGAGTATTGCCCAAGTATTTCAGCTCAGAATGGTCTGTGGCTCAGTTTCGCTTGGTTGAGGGATCTCAGTGTGTTGTTGCCTTTGGACACCAAAAGAATACAGTCGTAATTCTGGGCATGGATGGCAGGTAAAATAAAAAACCACCTGGTAATTGTTTTTTAAAATTTCAGTATAGGTAGATGCCAGTGCTGGACTGCTCCAGTGAGCTAGGAGGTATTTGGCTTGAATTGATTTTGTTGAATTAGAAGCTTTTACAGTTTTCTCAGTAAACCCTGCATTGCTCTTGCATCCTATCTTTTCAACTTTTGACTCTTTTGGTTCAATTTTCATTCAATATTTATCATAACATGTTTTATTTTCTTACCAGCGTATAGAATGAGATCATAATTTTCAATAGCTTGAATTATTCAGTGATAGAATTTTCACTTAGTATGAATTTCAAGTTAGGAAGTAAAAAAATTCGAACATGGAAATTATATCCCTATTGTACATGTTAGGAGTAAAGGGGAATTGATTGAGAATTGAAACGGAAAAGACTTATTTTTCCCATAATATTGAGTCTGGTTGTACTCTTTAATTAGTCACTGCTTGTAGTTAGTGTACCCGCTCGGGGACGATTCCATCCAAAAAGTTGGTATCTTCTAGGAAATTTCCCACCAAGCTTCATGCTTTTATCAAGATAGTGCTTCTTTTTCGATGAGTGGTTTCTTTTCTTTTTGAGTTTTATCCTTATTTTCAACCTCCGCACCCAGCCAGGGCAGGGTTGAGATGGATTTTGTCTTTAGTTTTTTTTTTTTTTTTTAATCTTCTTTCTTCAATTGTCTTTTCTTTTGGTGCAGTAAATTAGGAGAAAACCCCCATATAAATTAGTCCTCATTTGGCCACTAGAGCACATGGGTTATAGTTTGTCTTTGTTTTGTTTCTGGTCCTTCATGACTTGGGGAGTATTCTGACTCTGCTTATTTTATGCAAACCAGCTTATAAGCTGGGAGTTTATAAGTGAACAAAAAATTGCCCCCCCCCCCCCCTATATGGAGTTTTAAAAGTCAAATAAAACACAAATGTGTTTTCATTTATTTTCAAGGGTAAGTGGGTGGTCAAGTGAGTAATAAGAATATTACTTTTGGAATTTAATATTCAATATTTGCTTTTGGACTTTTTGTTGCGAATACAGCTTCTATAGATGCCAGTTTGACCCGGTGAATGGTGGAGAGATGAGTCAGGTAGAATATCATAATTTTCTGAAGCCAGAAGCTGTGTTCTGAAACGGTATCTCCATTTTCAATATCTTGGTGACATATTGTATTTTTAAGCACTTCTACTTTTTTTTCTTTTTCCTCGGCTCGCCGAATCTGGCGATACATACATACTTTTTAAGACGTAAATGTAAATATGCATATGGGTATGTACATTTCTGTACAGCGTGTTGCTCGACTCCATAAGAAAATCAGAAAGGTTCGGTGGGTGAGTTGGGAAAATTGGAATGCAACTGGAATTTTAAGCACATTATATAATATTCAACTGGATATATTTAATAAAAAGATAACTTAATTTTTATTATTATATATTGTATTTACATATTATCTAATGTGTAGATATATCTAGTAATATAATAAAGAGGAAAAAAGAAACAAATGCCAAAATTAAGAAACGAAGTACACCCATCGCAGGTCATGCCAATGTTTTAGAATAGGGTCTGTGGGCTTGGAACTTAATGGCATTGGCTAATAGAAACTGGTTCGAAATAGATTTACGTTAATGGGTTTTAAATAAGGGATTAATTTTGGAATTTGCTTAATACGTCTGCCACGAAATTCTTAAACAAAAAAAAAGGAAAGAACAAATCTCAAGAAGATGATGATATTAGATGCCAATCAAAACAATTTAAAATTAGGGTACAGAAAATCATGGTTTGACTGGTTTGATTTTGTATCTCTGTAATCTGTCACATGACTTGAATATATATATATATATATATATATATGACATCACATGTAGCTTCTACAAGCTTAAAACTCATTGGATTCTCTGTACAATTTTGTTGGTGTTCTTAAAATTTAGAAAATTATATAACTACTAGAATTTTTTGTCAGTTCAATTTCTAATCTTGTTGGTGATTGATTATCAAAATGAAGTGCTATATGTATATATATATATATATATATATATAGCATCGGATACCAAAATATTTTCTGTTACCTCTCTCGGATTATGTAATTTCAAAAGAATTATTTTACACATTAAATTTAAAAAAAAAAAAAAAATGTAAGTATCATATTCATAACTTTGACCTATGAGTTACCCAAGTATTGAAAGATTCCAAAAAGACAGATAGTTTTTAAGTTATCAATGGATTATTTAACTTATAGTCATAAAATAGTAAGTACATAACTATATATATATATATATATATAAACTCGGATTATGTAATTGCTGTATGGTTGTCATCTCTGTGTGTGTGTGTGTATATATATGGTTGGGTTGAGAGTAGTGTGTGGGTAAATATCTAAGCAAATAATTTATCGATGGCGCTGAAGTTGCATGGAGACCCAATATCCACATGCACCACAAGAGTCATAACCTGTCTTCATGAGAAATCCTTGGACTTTCAACTTCTCCCTGTTAATCTCTTTGCCTGCGAGAACAAGCTTCCTTCCTTCCTCGCCAAGAATGTACCTATCCCATTTCACCCTTTACTTATACATATATATATATTATATATATATATGTGTGTGTGTGTGTGTGTGTGTGTGTGCATATCTAATCTACATACTATTTATATATATATAGCCACTTTACATTAATGTTTATTCACGGTTATGTATTTTGTCATGCAGCCCTTTGGTCAAATTCCTGTGCTTGAAGATGGAGATCTCACTATTTTTGGTATGTTTTTCATTTCTGTTTATATATATATATATACTGATTAATAATCAATCAATAGATATATCAATATATAATTAGAGATGAATTTATTTATACACATATGTATATAATTTTTTTTTTTGGAAAAAAAAAAAAAAAAACTAATTGAGTGAACTTTGTTGGATTTGCATGCATGCATTATCTTACAGAGTCCCGAGCAATCACCTCATACCTATCTGACAAATTCAAAGACTCCAGCACCGACCTAATCCGCCACCAAAACCTAAAAGAAGCGGCCATGGTGAAACTCTGGTCGGAGGTCGAATCCCAACAGTTCAACCCTCCGATCTCGGCGATCGTCCACCAGTTCTTCGTCGCTCCGTTACAGGGAAACTCCCCGGACGAGAAGATCATCTCCGACAACCTGGAGAAACTAGGGAAAGTTCTTGACGTGTATGAAACGAGGCTGACCGGAAACAAATACCTCGCCGGAGATTTTTACAGCCTGGCCGATTTACACCACCTTTCTTACACTTACTATTTCATGAAGACTCCTCATGCTGATTTGATTAATGATCGTCCCCGTGTGAAGGCTTGGTGGGTTGATATTTCTTCTAGGCCGGCTTTTCAGAAAGTTGCGGAGGGGATGAATTTCGGGGATGAGTTGAAGCAGGAAGAGGGTTCTAATTAATTAATTGTTTATTAAGCTTAATTCTCGTTTTTGTTTAATTAATCGTAATTTGGGTTCTTAATTATGCATGTGTTCGTGATTTTGGGTGATACTTCAAACTTTTTTGTCTAATTGTTATCTATATATATAGAAAATTAATTGGTATAATATCATAAAACTTATTTTGGTAACTAAAATAAGGAAATATAATATATATATATATATATATATATCACATTTAAGCAAGACAAAAACAACTTCAAGGTACAAAAGTACATATATATTGATTATATGCAGGAGTTAGAGCTCGAAATAATGTGTGTGTGTGTGTATATATATTCTTACATATTGTGATGTCTTCCTAATAAAATATATATCGTATCATATCATAAAACATAAATCATCTTATAGCCAAGGAAAATATATATATTCTGGAAACCAGAATATAATGTATATCTATGTAATCAGTATAATATATAATATATATTCTACTTATATTATAATATATATTTCAAAATATATGCATCAATAATATTTTGAATTAAAATATTAAAAAATTTATTTTTATTTACACCATATCTAAATTGGATTTTAGTTCAAACTGTTTAACGAAAATTATTTAATTTTTTATTATAATTACAGAATCGACTCGTTTTAAACAAAAATATTTTACTAATTTTTCGATTTTAATACTAAATTAGTATTAGTAAAAGAGATCTCGAACTAATAAATAAATTATAAAAACTAATTAGAAGCTTAAAAATTATATTACAATAATTAGATTCGTTGATATTCCTAAATCGCACGTAAGATTTTTTTTATTTTGGATCCATCCTTAAGAACAAATTGGATCCGCTCCAACTAACCCTTTACTTACCAATCTTTGTCTTACATGAATTATGTTTGGACACAACTATATATATATAATACACATATTTGTATATGAATATATGTGTATTATATATACATATATGTGTATTAGGTTAAAAACAAATCTAGTAATACCTAATAATCATGTGGTTGCCATTATATTTAACCCACTTATTTTATTTAAAAAATATTGAATAATCATTTATTTTTTAAATATATTATATACTATTTTACTTTGAAATATGACCCCACCCCACATATACATGTATATAAAGTTATTAAAAACTATAATTGTAATAATTCAGAAATTAGGCTCTGAATTTTATTTGTGAAATTGGGGAGGAAATTAGAAAAATATATAAAATCAATTAAATTTAAAAATAATTTATTTAAGAATTAGAACGTTATTTAGAAAATTAAAATAATTTTTTGTTTAAAAAAGTATTTCAAATACATATTAAAACTTGTAATTAGTAAAATGAATTAAATTTTAAAAAATAATAATTAAATTTTAAAAAATCAATAAAGTAGTAAAATTAAATTAGAAAGAAAGTTAAAAAAAATTAATTAACTTAAAAAAATTGATTAGAAAATATTAAATTTTGTAAATTAATTAAGCTAAATATTGTAAAACAAATATGAGAACAAACAAACAAACAAACAAAAAAAAAAAAAATTAATTAATTAAAATTAAAAATTTATCATAATGGAAAGGACCAATCAAATTAGAGAAGGTGCATGTGAGATTGAAACATGAAAAAAATTAGGAAATGGGATAAGGGGGTGGCCACCAATTAATAAGTTTTATGATATTTATACACCCCGTATATTTATGCATATGAGATATACATATATAAACTATAATGAATATGTGAAATATATTTATTTCCATGAATTTTGATGTAAATGTATGAAGGAAAACAAAAATATATATGTATATATAGATATATTGTGTATGTGTATATTTTTAATGTGTGTATATATAAATATATATATATATATACATATAACTATGTATAAATAAATGCATGTATGGGTATATATGATTAAAATAATATTTTTTATGCACGTATAATCCTTATGTTTTAATAAATATTTATATACGTAATAATAGAAACAATAATATTTAGATGACAATTATAAATTTTATAACTATAGTCATAAATTTATAAAATGGTGTAAGTTAAGAGTAGAAAAATATGATGAATGAATAAATTTAGGGAAAAAAATGTGTGTGTATTATAAGTATATATACAAGTATGAATGGTGTATTTGTGTTTAATATAATAATATGTATAGGTATAGTTTATATATATATAGAAATGGGTTTTAATACAGATAAGTATGATTAACACAATATATAAACATATCTTATAAAAATAAATGGTAATGGAGGGAGATTTTACATATATATATATATTAAGTAATGTTATAAGTTTTATAATTATAATTACATAATTTTATCTTATGATATAAATAAATAATAATAATAATAAGAGATATATATATATATTTACATAATAAATGAGTGTGTGTGTGTGTGTATATATATGTATATATATGTGGGAGAAGAATAAATAAATTAAAAATCAATTAAGAATGAGGTAAATTATGATAGTTAGGAGAGTTG